GCTTGAAAATTCTCGAAAGGAGGCTGACGGTCGTACAATTTCCTCGGACATCGTCCATGCACCGTTACCATCCGCGTAATTTGTCCGTAATCGTCATCACAAATAACCGTCGATCGACACACTTTTGAAACGCCCGATTTGATGGGACGGGGAACGGGAACGCTTAGGATCACTTCGAAGTCAAAGACCTCCGCGCGTACCTGTGTGTTCCTCTCGTAGGAGAACAAAGTTATTTCGTTCGGTAAGCGGTAGTTGTTACATTACTCGAATAACTATTCTCGAATGTGTTTTCTCCAGATGTCTTTCTCGGGTAGACGGTTAACACATTCGGGACGTGGCCTAAAGAAATGAATTGATCATTTTTTATGTTCTTAGTGTCAGTATGTCGTTGCAAGTATTCTAAAAGGCATTTAATGATAGAAAATGTTTTTTTTATCACATTATTTAATTGAAACTATAGTTTCCATCCGTACCGAATGCGTTGAATCGTGTTCGAGGAGAAGTTACGAAGACGATCGTCTCTTGTTTCGCGAGCCAGCGTAGGTACACGTATCCGGTGCACGACCGCGAACGATTTCGCAGGCGTTCATTTTCCAGAACACTGTGTAATTGATTCTTCACGGGCACGGAAGATGCCATCGCGTAATTGCGCGGACCGATCGCCGCGAGACCTCCGTGTAATCCGGACGAGATCGACTCGACTCAACCAGTCACTTTGTAATTACCCACCGACAAGAAATACCCGATTCTATCGTAATAAGTGCCGGTGATCCACGCTTATCTCGCGTAATGATTACCCATTTACCGGGATCGCTGGATTTAATTAAAACGATGTCGTGTCGGATGCTCCTAGTCCTCTGCGTCGCCGCAAGGGAGCGACACTTATCGCTTCCTGTTCTTTTACAATGCGCTTTTTAAAAGACTCCCGATTCAACGTTGCATCGATTGGGATTATTCCACTCGAGAATCTATTAACATTAAATCGAACGTATGATCCTGTTAACTGTCGACGTCGAGGTGGAAGTTTCAAAACTCTGCTCAGTAGGGGCAACAAGGCGATTACAATGCTCGTTAGCGTTGTTATTCCCATCGCAGCCTGAAAAATCGTCCACGGAAGAACGCGTCGCTCGCCGTGCGCCTCTTCTACATAGATATAATTAAACCGCCACACGGTTCGTTCGTTTAATGAACGCTAGATAGCATTTAATTGCCAGGCATCGCGTCGTCCGGGCGCGGGACACGGTTTTTCTTCGAAGGCATGAAAACCTTTGGTCGCTTGCTCGCCCGTACGCAATAAATCTTCTAAGGCGTACTGTTTAATATTGATGATTCAATCGGTTCCTGGCCGGGCCGACCGTCCGGCAATAAGGCCGGGGAATCTTTGAAAACCAGTTCGTTACCGGTGAACGAGTTAATAAGGAGGATAGATTCGCCCGTGGCGATCTCGACGGTCGACGAGTCCCAAGGATGCAGGGGAGCGGCTCTGCTAAACCGGAGCGCATTTGTTACGAGATCATTGTGCCTAGTCACGACTCTCCGGGAACGAAAACCAAGACAAATGGAAATCCGTTCGCCGGGGCCGGGTCCATGGCGGCGGTCGTGATTCACGAAGCGATTTCGAGCTCGGGGATAGCCCCGACGATACACAGTCGCCGAGAGCCAGGACCTTTCATAAGGAGGATAATTAAATGGCTGGAACTACGGCGAAGGGATGCTCGACGCAGGATAACAATTAGGGTGCTGGAAAGAATCCGAGGATCGCCAGGCGGGACGATTTTTATGGACCTGACTGCATCTAGCACGGTAATCGGCAACGTTGCGTCCCGTTGGCCCCGAGAGTTATTTTCATATTAATAATCGGAATACGAAATTATCGGATATGCTTAACGAGGAATACTTAACGAGGCCTACGAAATTACGAAAACAATGCCTCGATGGAAAAATGTTTGTACGATCTTGTTAAGATTCCTCTTATCGTGGAAACGTACCCACGGGAACGAACCGAGCTACGGAGATCGCTTTTATTAGAACCTTCGCCTCCTAATAAAAAGGAGACGGCAAACGGAGGGCTCCGGAAGCGGCGTAGTTCGCGGAACGAAATACCGGAAACGGCTATATCCCCCCACTGGTAGGGCCTTGAAAAGCCGTGGAACATCTCGCGAGAACTCGTCGGCCGGGTTGCTTGCTCGTATCGCGGAGGGACCGGTTGTGACGTAAAGGTCAGGGATCCGTGCGCGCGCGGAACGACTTTTCCTGCGGGCGTAACGACCGGGGACAATGAGCTGCAAGAAATTCGCACGTGTATACCCCGCGAAGTAATCGCGCGCACCTTGTTGGTCTTTCTGCTCTTACGAACAATCACGCCGTTTCTTTCGATCGCCCGAGGCGTTTTGCGATTGAAATGTCACCTCATCGATTTGTGATCGTAGAAATCGTCAACGAGCCGCCAGTCAAATTTCAGACGTAGTCGTTAAAACGTTCCGACCGTTCTGGAAGTATCTGCCGCCTGAAAGTTTTCCCGGGACCTGGAGGAAGTCGAGGTCAGAAATATCAGCGTTCCCATATGTTGTGGAAATCCCACGCGTTTGACGGGAACGTGTCACGTATGTAAGTAGAAACGTGCTCGACGTCGCATAGGTGGTGTCCTGTGACCGAAGGAAAGTTCGTCGCGTTACAGTTCGAAACTGTAACGTGACGATAACGCAGCGAGTTCCTTCGACAGCGAACGTTCCTGGAAACATTGATTCTCTCGGGTAACACTCCTGACGTAACCGCCGGAAGAAATCCGCGGTTCTTCTCCCGGTTTCTTTCCCAGCCGACCGCGGCGAGAGCATTAATCTTCGTAACAGTGCATCAACCCATCCGCCAAGTGAACCAAAGCGCATTCCTTATTGTTAGCGGGTGCACACGCGTGACCGCGACCGCGACTTCGCCACGGTGCTCGTGACTGGGTGACTCGTGAGGGCAACGCCGCGGCAGCAACTTCGTAACCTTGAACGTGGCCGAAGCTCGTGAAAGACCAGTTGGAGCACACGTTTGTTCTCGTGTAATTTGCTCATCTTTCGCGACGGTTCGAAGATGTTTTCATGCGACACGAAGCTCGTCGACGGCAGAGACGAGATATAAAAATAGCATGCAATGCAATTTTCTGTCCCATTCTTCGTGGGCGTCGGAAGACCCTGCACCATTTCAGTATTCCATTCCTTGGTAGCGAAATCACAGGTGTGCGTGTGACTGCGGATTTTTCATGCAAAATCAAAGTTTTTCCCTCTTAAGTATCTTATTGGATTCAGAGTAAAATAGAAAATTCGTTGGATCTGATGAAATTTTTGTTTTTTATTGTGTTTCACAGAACCCTATAGGCTACAAATGCATAAAATCCGCAGTTTAGTCATTACGGTGTCGAACGTAATTCCTAAAGTTGGAAACTTTTATGTGGAGTGGACACCAAGTCCCATAAGATGTTAGGTCTATTAGATCTCTTCTATATTCTTATATCTCGTCTGTGCCGACGGCAATGGGAAGGAGGAGGTATATGTAGGTCGAACAGCTGACCTCGCTACGACCCGAGACAAAGTTCTCCTCTTCTGTTACACGGTCCTCGGTTATCCCAGGCTCGATGACCTCAAACCGAGGCTACGAAATGCCATCCTCCGGAGGCCTAACGGCGCAGTTTATTGCATTACGTTCATTTCACCCGAGCAATCTCGCGTCATTTACGTGCTGCCGCAATTACCAGAGGGTAGGCCGTACGACCCGGAACGTGTATCAAGGTTTTTACCGGTCGCGCCGCTTGGGACGGAATGTCTTCCAGCAACGCCTGACTCCGGCGAAACGTGACAATGGAAAAAAACGATGGAGTCAGAAATTGTTCCACGCATGGAAAACTAAAATCGGGAGGGGCAATTGTAACGAGCCGGAGGTACGCGCGTACAAACAGGATTCCGATAACGGGGCGAAAGAAAGGGACGCGCGTAAAGCTGCAAAATACCGATCCTTACACGGCTGCTCGGTCCGAGGGACGCGACCGTGAATCGCTCAATCGACCGCGGAGAAAAACGTGGACGGGGTAGATAGAGGAAGTTATCGATCGTAAATACGTTTTCTTCGGCTCGCAATCGGAATCGAAGGAGATGGCCAGGCACGAAGGAGGAACAGCAGATAGAAAAGCGAGAGGGAAGCTCGGTGTAAGAGCGGAGAGAAGAAATCGGTAGGTGGTAGCAGCGAAAAGGGTGCGAAAAACAAGAAAACGAAGAAATCATGGAAACAAGTCGCTTGGTAAAACACAATCTGTCTACACACACACACACAATCTCGAGCGACTTGCTCGAATCAGGATCGTCTTTTAGTACTTTTATGAAACGGACTCGCTTGATCGGCTGTAAACGTTTTATTCTTCGGGGGATTGATTTACGTGGACTTTATACCGCATACTAAAGGGTGTCTCGGCAAGAACTTGAATTTTAAATAAATTAAAAAACACATTAATTTAATTGTTTTTTTACATTTTATTATCGATGTCTTCAGAGTTATGAATGACAATAAACACGAAATAAAATGTCGGTTAATTGACCACCGTTGGTCTGGTGGCAAGGTATGTATTCTTTTGACGAAATTTCGCAGTACGTTTTGGAGTAAGGGCCGGTGGATTTCACGAATTTGACGTTCAATTTCTTCTTTGACGAAACAGACGAAAATTGAATATCGTGAATTCGGTGCAATGTAGAATTCTTTTCGTTACTTTATAAGTATCTATATTAAGTTCGAGGCTAAGCGCGTTCGCTACGCGCACGGAACTCCGGTTGAAAAACCGTTTCAGATGCGCGAACGTATTTCATTACTCGTGCCGGTTACGCGCGTCGTCAGGCGTGCGTGCGCGTGAAATTCATTAAGCCGGCTCGCATAAGAATCAAGTCCGCGCGAGAACCGAGGACAACAGGGGGGATCATCGGGCGGAATCTAATTAAGTTTGTAACCGAGATCCGTCGGTTCTGTTACAGATGGGTTCGTCTGCGATCGGCACGATGGCGACTCTAGCCGCGAGCGTGATGCTTCTGACCTTGGTCACCGTCTCTCGAGCTGCTCTGGGTGAGTGTACAACGATGTATACGTATTAACCTACACCGTTTCGTTTAGAGCACGGACGAATAGAAACCGTGGCGCGCAGTGGTACAGAACGCCGATTTAGGAGTTCAGAAGCTTACTTTCGGTATGAAAATTAGTTTTGAAATTTTTTACACCCAAATTACATAAGCTTCCGAACTCCTAAATAGGCGTCCTGTACCGCTGTACGTCGTGGCGACGAGACGCAACAACGTTCGATTATTTCGATGTTGTTTTTTCATTGTTTTCAAACTGAAAAATTTGTTCGCGTTTCAGCCAGGACAGCGTTCGAGAAGCTGACCGACTATGATTACCGCGGGAACACGTATTACAGCGTACGAAATCTATCGTTGTACGAGTGTCAAGGATGGTGCAGAGAAGAGGCCGAGTGTCAAGCGGCGGCGTTCTCGTTCGTGGTGAATCCTTTGGCGCCTATGCAAGACACTCTCTGCCAGCTGCAGAACGAGACATCGGCTACGAATCCCGCGGCGCAGCCGCAGAGAGCCGTGAACATGTACTACATGACGAAGCTTCAGATCAGATCAGGTGAGAGCAAACTGCAAAGTACAGAGCTGTTTTCATTAACATAACCCGTGGCGACGATAGGGCATCGAAGCGGGGGAACGTTGTTCGATGGTGGTTTTTTAAAGAATACGTAATCCCCGCACACCTGTTTCCAATGGTCGGTCCTTCGAGGGCCTGAACGGTCCGGTATAATCGAGCCACCAGCAGCACGACTTCGTTAATGAACTTTAATACCCTCGCACCTCCCGCGGTCCCTTGTGCCGGCGACCAAAACCCTTTGGAGGTCGATGGGAACAAAGGCGGCCAACGGGACGCAGGACAGGTCAAAGAAAAATCCCGCAATAGGCGAAGGGGCTGAGGGAAACGAGCCAGAGGACCGGAAAGGTGCGATAATCCAGGTTTCGATGCTAGTGGCGAAGTCGCTTGGGAGCAGGTAGATGTGCAAATAAACGGGACAAGCCGATAGCTAATAGCTACTGGTGGGAAAGAGGATTGTTTGGCTGGGTCGCCTCGCTTTGCCTCCGAGCCCCACGACAATGCGTAGACAATATTCTTCGAATTTTCCGTTTTGCGTGGATGGAATCTCTGCTTATGGCTACTGGTATCTATAATACTTTGCATTATCAAAATGGCACTGGCATCGTTGAAATGAAATAAAGATTAAAGTTCGCGACCTAAACGAATCGAAACGTTCGGAACGCGTTCTTTTTAAATTTCATCCCTCGAGTTTTGAAATTTATAGAACGCGTTTTTGTCTCGAGTAACTTTCATGAGATGGCATCGGGTCTGCGATCTCTGGACACACTTGAAAGAAGAGCCTTCGTTCCGAAGACAGACGGTCAGATTTTCACCCAGACAAGAAAGTCTACAAATTTGCCAAAGAGGGGGCCTGGTGGTGGCGGCAAACAATGAAGGATCTGCTGGTACCTTTCGGATGGTGTGAAGGATGCTTTAAGCACGGTCGCCGCTGTAAACAGGTACCTGCAGACACCCCGGAGGTGTCGAAAAGATCCCGAGGGGGTCTAAGAAACCCCTAATATTGGTTTAACGAGCCTGCTGGTATATATACCTATATACGGTCCTTCAACTTTCCTCACCGGGGTTGGTCGTAAAACCCCACTTGGGGCTCGGGTCATGCTTGAAAGAACCACGAGGAATTTCGAGGAAGGTTTCCGTTTCGCTTCCAAACGCACGATTGCCCCCTATACAGGCGCCTGGTCAAGCTTCAAATGAACCTGCACCCTTGACGGGCAGACCGGATATAACACAGGATAAATCGACGGTCTCGTTCCTTTCGTTCGGTTCATCCTGGTCCCCTAAAATTTCTCCGTGTCCCCGCCTAAAGGAATTGTCATGGAATCTACGAAACATAATTTGCTAATCCGCTACTCGTTGTTATTAAACCCCCACGGTGCTTATCCGCTCGTTCTTCTGCTGCCAATTTCCATTCGAAGTTGGTCTTCCCTTAAAATAACTTTCAGAACGAACGAAACGAGACTCCGTCATCGAGGTCTCGACACGTTGAGAATTCGCACGGCCGCCGTCGATCAGCTACCAGCCAGTCTATACCGTGAAACGTTGGCTAGCGCGAAATTTACGTAACGCCCGCGCCCTGTATCCACGTCGTTTAATTCGAGAAACGAGACGGCTCGCGGCGACAATCAATTCTGGCGGTTTCGTGAGTCACAAACGACAGGGTTCAACGTCGCGTCTGTTCACTGCCAGCTAAAATCACTATTGTATTTACAGCTAGCGGAGATCACGAATCGCGTACACTCGTCGTTTTCAGGATCGTCTTCAGGACGTCCGAAAATATGCCCTCTCGCAGAAACAACTTCGCAGTTTATTTTTACAAACTGCCGCCGCGATGTTCAAGGAACGTGTCGGAATCCAGCTAAAACAGAGTTTTTATCAAATTTTTTTTCGCAGGCGTGCACGGCGTATAGCTGACGGGAATCGGGAAAATATCGAAGAGGATGCCAACGAATGGGAACAAGTGGGAACGTATGGGAATGCCAAGTTACGCGTTCCCTTTGGCAAGCATCAAGCATCGTGAAAAAGACCGCTTGTATATACGCGCATCACAGTAAAAGACGATGCCTGAGTACCGAAGGAACAGCCGGTGCCATTGTATCGGCGAGTATTTCGGTGGTCGTCAATCTGTCGGGCGCGATCAGGAATTCGCACGGTCGCGGTGAATCATTCCGTGTCGGAGTCACGCGTCCGTTCATTGGCACCATCTCGTCGTCGTCCTCGTAAATACTCGTCCTCGTCGTCGTCGGCGACATTAGCTCGAAATATATTCCCAGTTCCCTGCCAAAAACCGTGCGTGCTCGTGCGTCAGAGACCGGATCGGACGAGAACGCTCGACTGAGGGGGCATGCCAAGTCACATGTTGCTCGTGATTTTGGCATTCGCTCGTATTCCCGTGCTCTCCTCGCGCCGTCGCGTCGTTGCGTTCCCGTGATCGACCAACCGCGAAATTCGCCACACTTCCTCGGATCTGCCGGATGCATAACTGTTTCCCGATCGCCGGTATCCTTGCCTCGGTTTTATCGCGAATGCCGACCTTCTATTTTTCTCTTTCACGCAGCCGTGGTTACCCTCCTCTTCCCAGTCTTCCAGTTATATTCGGAGAGCTAACGAATGCATATGGTAAATAGCTCCTGCGAGCGTTAATTCAGCGGTTCTCAGCCGGACTGCGATCTAAACCATGCGGTACACCCGCGACCAAACTCGGTTGCCAACGCGATGCCAAACTTCGTACCGATGACTCCTACTTTGTATCGACTGTCATATGTAGGAGAGCAGGTGGTGTCTGAAAATCATATTACATAAACAAGCATTATGCAAGCGCGTCGAATTCCCTGCAACTCGTGTACGGTTTGTCAGGTGTGCAAGCGTGTCGCGTCTGCGGTCAGGCGTATCCACGTGTCCTGCCAATCTGTAAACAAAAATGTTTCGCGCGTCATTCAACTATAAACAGCTTGTGGATGGTCGGTGAAATTGTTCGCGTCGATTCAAGGGAATATTCGAATCTCACGATGAACATTTATGATCCTTTCAGAGAACGTATGCCTGCGACCATGGTCCTTCGAACGTGTGCCGAACAAAATGATTCGCGGTCTGGATAACGCACTGATTTATACATCGACGAAGGAGGCTTGTCTCGCGGCTTGTCTGAACGAGCATCGTTTCACTTGCCGTTCCGTCGAATACAATTACGTTACGCTCCAGTGTCACCTGAGCGACTCCGATCGAAGAACAACCGGTCAGTACGTGCAATTCGTGGACGCCCAGGGAGTCGATTACTTTGAGAATCTTTGCCTAAAAGGTATGGGGTCACACTATATATGCACTGTGAAACATTATAATCTATATTTATAGATATTATTATAATGTATATCTATACACACATATTTGTGTAATACATAGGTACCGAGATTGTAGGTTACCGTTGCGTTGATGATTTTCAGGAAAAGAGGCTTGCAAATCTCAAAGGATCTTCCAGATGCCCAGAATCGGCGTGGCCGACGATAAGGTCGCGCAGTATGCTGGCTTGCACTATTACACGGACAAAGAGCTCCAAGTTCAGAGCGAATCCGCGTGCAGATTGGCCTGCGAGATCGAAAACGAGTTCCTTTGCAGATCTTTCCTCTATCGCGGCGCCCCTCAGGGATCGGCTTACAATTGCCAGCTGTTCCATTTGGATCACTGGACTCTTCCCGATGGTCCCTCGGCGTACCTCAATGCGGAAAGACCACTGATCGATAACGGAGAGAGGGTCGGGACATATTTCGAGAACTACTGCGAAAGTAAGATTGTTGTAAATCCTGATCAGCTTCTCGCATACGTTTTCGACGTTCGTCATGTTCTCACCGAATCCTTCCAGAGGGTGCAGGACCTGCCGCGGATCCGCTTCCAGTTGTCTTCGAAACCACGGAAGATCCTACGATAAACAACCTCACGAGGAACGACATAAATTGCGACAAAACTGGTACCTGCTACGACGGTACGTAATTCTGTCGAGCGAACATCGTCTTCCGTGCACGATGTAAGTGTAAAGTGTACGCAATGTACAATACATCTAACCGAGAACCATCGTTGCAGTGTCGGTGGACTGCAAGGATACGCGGATCGCCGTTCAGGTTCGCACCAACAAACCCTTCAACGGTCGTATTTACGCCCTCGGTCGATCGGAGACATGCAACATCGACGTTCTGAACAGCGATCTTTTCAGGCTCGATCTAACAATGAGCGGCCAGGATTGTAACACTCAGAGCGTGGTAAGTGAACATACGTAGATCACGGCACAGCACCTTAATCGCTTGAAATCCACCACGTCCATACGCACGAATCCTTAGATTCTCTTCAAACTCTTTGTTTACCATGGCAGCGTGACGGTTTTCAGACTGGCATCTACTCGAACACCGTCGTCCTTCAACATCATTCCGTGGTGATGACCAAGGCCGATAAGATTTACAAGGTGAAGTGCACCTACGATATGTCCTCCAAAAACATCACCTTCGGAATGATGCCTATCAGGGACCCGGAAATGATCAGTATCACCAGCGCGCCGGAAGCCCCTCCTCCGAGGATTCGCATCCTCGACAGCAGGTCCAGAGAAGTCGAGACTGTCCGCATAGGGGACAAACTGACCTTCAGAATCGAAATCCCGGAAGACAGTGAGTTTCCGTGTTCGGTGCTCGTCAAACTTGATCGGCCGTCATCCGATCCGACGGGTTAATTAACGTTTCTCCCTCTGTACAGCTCCCTATGGTATCTTTGCTCGCAGCTGCGTCGCCATGGCGAAAGACTCGAAGAGCACGTTCCAGATCATCGACGACGAAGGGTCAGTGATATCTGTACTTTGAATATCCTGTATCCGTTACGACGAGCTTCGCGTTAGATGTTACGATAACCACGATTTTTTAAACAGATGCCCGGTCGATCCATCGATTTTCCCCAGCTTTACCCCAGACGGAAACGCTCTTCAGTCCATCTACGAGGCGTTCAGATTCACTGAATCCTACGGCGTGATCTTCCAATGCAACGTCAAATACTGTTTGGGACCCTGCGAGCCGGTAATCGAAGACACTTGAAAACTATTCGTAAGTCTGTGTCGAGCGCGAAACGACGATACGAAATCCGTTGATTGCAGGCTGTCTGCGAATGGGGACGCGAGTCGGTGGAATCGTGGGGCAAGAGGCGTCGGAGGAGCATCGCGAACGCGACGGAGGAGAAGGCGGAGGATATGACGCTGTCTCAGGAAATCCTGGTTCTCGACTTTGGCGACGAGAAGCAGTCGGACTTCTTGAAGAGCGACGCTAGCATAGACTTCAACGAAGCTGGTAATTATGCGAACGACACCTACGGTTTTTAGTTACCCTGTTGGACAAGCAAGAGAAACAAGGGAAATCTGTTACAGACAAAACGGTGACTATCGTGGAGCCATGCCCGACCAAGACATCCGTGTTGGTTCTGGGAGTGACGTGCGCTCTCCTCGTTCTAATCTACATCTCCACGATCTTCTGTTACTACATGAAGAAATGGCTTTCGCCTCGTAAAATGATGCCCTGAACACCCACTCGTCTCAAGTTCGAATCCGTGAGGAGGAGTTGCGGCGACCGGAGAGAAGAAGCGTTATTAGAGAACCCTTCGAATAAACGAGTCGAGATCGATCGCGCGCGATCAACACGAGAAGTTACTTGTTCGCGTGAAAAAATCTCAACGTCCGCGCGCACCGTTCGCGGCGTTCCTCGCGCTTCGTCGGAAATTCTTTTTCGATGAACAACAGAGTCGATTTTTTCACGCGAATTACTAGGTGAAATTTTTTCAGGTTTATCGTGGCGCGTAATTAGCATTCATCATTCACAATTAGGCGGGATCATCGTATTCGGACGTCGCGTTGAATGCACACAGATTAATTAACCGATGCATTCGTCAATGTCCACAAGGTCGGAGTTTGAGAGCGCATTTTTGAAAATAGGATACGCGAGGTACCGGGAAACAAGACAACGAGACAAATTCGAATGCCAGCGGAAAAGAAAACCTAGGCATCTCTAAAAACAGAAGCATCGTTCATTGGAAAGAGGTGTATCGTTGATAGAATAGATCAAAGGATATCAAACACACATAGCGACTGTCACAAGTCGCTTGTGCAACGCTGTTATAGAGACCTTTTTGTCGATGATATTAAGACCGCACTCATTATAGAACACTTTTAAATATAATTTCACGCGGACATGCGACATTATTGGTCGCGGGTGACGAGGATCACGAGGCTTGCCGCTTTGCGCAACGCCTCGCGAGGGGGGAAATACATAGTTTTACACATACAGCTGAGCATCGGTTTCGTAGACGGTGATAGAGGTAACACACATCGGTTACAGAATATCTTTACAGGACAGAGCTCTACACTTTATGCATTTTACGTCTGATTCATTTCACTCCTTTATACATAATATTTATCGCGCGTATCCGATCTTATATGTAGATCGCATAATGGGACGAAGATCGGAAGGATCTTGCGTGCAATATTTCGTGGCGAGTCGCGGAACAGATCGGTTTCCTCGGGGACGATGAAACTGTTGAAAGAATAGGAATCAACGCGCGTCGATGTAATTACATGCACAATGTATTACACGCCTGACGTGTCATCTCCGTCTTTCATCGAACAACACAGAACATATGTCCATACTTGATTCGACGAGAGCCTTTCGAATCGAGCATCGTCCGCCGAACAAAAATTGTTCCTCGATCCGCGGATGATTAAGTTCTTTTTTTTTTCTAGAAAACTATCAGAAATGGTCCCTGGACGACAAACGTTGTAATAAGTACACTCTATTTAAGGTCATCCTAGACACAGCTAACGGTCTTATCCCATAAGGGCTACTTCTGATCGAGTTGCAACGAGTACAAAGTGGAGCCAGCAACAGTTTCTTTTTCCGCAGACTTTCCACTCTGTTGTTGCTGGCTGAAATATAAGGTGGCCCCTCGATCGCCGATCGCTCGGCACGGCTATGGCCACCTTTTTATTCCACGGAAATCGACTTGTAACCCGTATCAAGACTAGCGATATTTAAAGGTTCACGCTTCACTAACGTCTCTAACGATACAACGTTTAAGGTAGGAAATAAGCGGAGCATGGAAGCACAGATAAAAGAGAGCAAGAGAACGAGCGAAAGGGGAAAAGTGCGTTTCTGGTTGCCGGTGCTTTTAGCCATGATTTAAAAAGTTTTATTTCATTCACAAGAAACTATTCAATCTTTTCAACGATACAATCGCCTCTAAAACAAAATCAGTCTCCATTCGAAATAGCTAGAAGTTTAACGTACGAAGTCCACCGTAAATTGATCGTAAAATTAGTGAAAGTGCCAGCTGCCGGAAACAAGCTACCGCAAAATCACCCTTTCGATGTATGTATGTACTTCGATTTCTCGCGTTGAGACATGAATTTTTAAAGTGCAAATTCAATTCTGAAATGATCGAAACGCGACAATTATACGTGCAACTTCCATTCGAGGTGTATCTGTGATCGAAGTACAAGAAAAGAATAGCAGTGAGGAACACAATCATAAACTACATGAAACGGTGGACGCATGTTTTCTTCCATGATTAATTTCATGTACTTGCTTTAAAAAAAGAAAACATCGTTTGAAATGGGCAGTTGCGCCGTTACAATTAAGCTTGGCTTCTTTATCAACTGTTCCTTGCTGCTTTTATTGATACGACAATTGAATTTTCCAAGAAGGCACAGCCTGCTGGGGTGAAAACAAAAACGTACGAAAGAAATGTATATATTATTGGACCGTAATAGGTATTGAAATGGAGACACGCATACAAGCATCAATATCACATGTATTCGTACTCTATTTATGTAAGCGAAAGTTTAATAATTAAACGAAGAACAATTTTGAAAATTCTGCCACACCCCTTCCCCCTGTACTCTTCAAGATCATCGATCAATCTGTCTTGGATTTCTTGAGCAATGAGCGGGATCTAAAAAACGAGATACGATTGGTCGACGGCCAGGGATCGTCTAAAACTTGTGATTGATTGATCCACGCGTGCTCACGTTGCACGTGTGTACATCTGTTATTGCGGCAAGTATTAATATGAATCACTTGATACAATTGCAACTTAGAGGATAGTCAGTTGACTCTAGATCAAAATAATTGCAGCATCTTCGTTTTAAAAATAGTCGGCTGTTGCATCCGACGTTCGAAGATATACTCTTTAAGTTGGTGGTAAAATTTACTCGGATCGTTGATCGACTTCTCACTACGAGCAAATCAAACCAAGAAGGAAATGTACATATGTATATGTATGTGTAATATTTGCGCAAGATACGAGAACGATAAAATTTAAAAGGAAATTGCAATTGGTACCTACGCCACGGTTTCGACGGTACATTCTAGACGTCGCATCAGCGAAACCGCGTGTATCGATGAATCGTCATCGTGCTTCAACGAGGTTTCAAAGGCTAGCCTTAATCGATAAGAAATGTAACGAGCTTAACTCCTCTCGACCCTCGAAGGCAGCGGTTATCTAGACGATAAATACTTTCAACTGCTCATCAAAAGACGTTTTGCAACCATAACGAAACGACTGAGTCATTTTCAGCTGTAACAAACATTTTCAGTGACCGCGTTTCATTCAAATTCGCAAATCCTCGGTAACTTGTCTTTTTTATAATTGTTGCTTATGCTAATTAGAATGATGCTTTAATTAAAATATGTAACTGCGGATAAATAATATTCAATATGAATCCAAATGATCTAAACGCGAATAATGTCTGCGTATCGATAAGAGAAAAAAAATATTATTAGTAATCGCAGTCTATGTACATGTGTATGTATGTAATTACATTATACCGTCGATAAAGCGAGTCGCGGATAATGTACTTATGTAGCGCTTTTTCGCGACCATTCATTTTTTGCCACTCGGTCGATAAAGAGAATCACGACTGGCGGTGCGCGTGTCGAGGTCAGAAACTAGGCCTGTAACGATTTCGTACATACTCGAATTCAAGGTTTTCACGTAAACGAACCACGGAAGATGCTAGCAGTCATTCCGAGACGTCGTCATCCAAGTCGTCGTTGTGCCAAAGGCAAACGTATGGCAACCTCGTCAACCTCGATACGCCTTCGCCAATGATAAGATAAAAAGGTTAGCATGTGTGTATATGTATACGTTTCTAGGTAGAGTGCAGCCACGCAAACGTGGGCGTTGTATTGCATTTCGCCGTGGTCATGTGCACGCTACGTTCTTCACATTTATTCACGATAACGTTTCTTACTACCTTCTATACACATTCTACACACCTTCGTAGCTGTCTTCGCATTTCCACCGTTCTAGGTGCCGCGAAATAAAGCGTGAAGGGTCGAGGGCATATGTACATTTCGGTAAATCGGGAGATCCGTGCTGTGAGGTTAACCACGATCTCAAAGGTATGCGCAGGTATGCACGAGTAGGCGCCATCGTGCGACCGCCCACGGAGAAGGTATATTTCTGTACATATTCGTACGTGGGCAAACGAGCGATGCGACCAACTGTGACGCTTAACCTACGTACATATACATATACATATACATACATAGGATACATATTGCACGCGACCAGGGCCGACGAATCCTACGTGGGCAAACGAGCGATGCGACCAACTGTGACGCTTAACCTACGTACATATACATATACATACATAGGATACATATTGCACGCGACCAGGGCCGACGAATCCTGGTGAGTCGTGGGGAACACCTTTCGCCTCTTAAAATTTTCTACTGAAACCCACTCACGGTTTCCGTGCCCGTGGTCGGAACTCTTTGTAACGTTGTAAGATGTATGGACATATACAATTGGAAATTCATCTATATCTCTGCATCTTCCGGTGGATTTTGGAAGCCTATCCTCGTGAGTTAATAATCAAGAGTCAGTATAATTCCGTGATACAATATCCATAGAATTTGGTGTATTAGCCAGCCGCTAGCGTATATACATGCGACTAAATAGATTCAAGACTATACACGCACATATACACATGAGACGCGTACATCCGAACACATCGATAGAGATGCGTGCGCTGGTGCACGTGTGGCGCTCTCCCAGTTAGCATGTACCTAAATAAACTTAGGTTATAAACTTGAGACTGCTATTTCAACGAGTGCAGCTGTTTAATACGAAGACAAGAGTAACCATGTATGTATTATCATCATGTCGTGGAAAACATATCTATAGCTTTTGATCACGTTTCTTTTCAAGGATAAAATACGTAAAAATACCCTATGGAAGAATTTTGGTTTAAATGCTGAAATGTAGCATTACCGCTGGCGACCACGAGTATCGATAATATAAAATCAGCGATGAATATGTGAAAAATGAATAAATATGTGTGAACAAAGTGAAATTTATTGAGAAATTTTAACGAAAGAAATATTGACACAAATTTACCCCGGTGGGACACATAGGGAAAACCTAGAGTATTTATTGAACGGAAGCAAAGTACGTACGTACAAGGAAAGTTGAACAATTTCAGCCTCAAGTAATATATAATCAATCGTCCTCTCAGGCGACGGCGTGTCTGGTCTTGGCCAAGAGTCTGAAATCATGCATCTACACCAGGGAGAACTTCCATACACGAAGCAAACAAGGACGACTAGAAGAAAGATCGTCTAATGCATTTCTTTTGCCACGAATCAGGACCGCTAACGCCCCTTTCTTTCATACGCGCGCATTCTCACGTGGCTTTCACGCACAAGTAAGGTAGGTAAGGGCCAACAAGTAGTATGCGACACGACTCAAAGGTGAGGTGTCGCAAGTCGAGGCATTGGTAAATAGGAGTACCGTGTCTCGCTTGCTCTCCTGAACACTATCTCTCTGCTTTACATGGCATACCCACACATAAGTACGTGAAAAGAGAGCAAGGAAAGCGAAGGCTACGAACCCGAAACGACTGAACATGAAGGAGAAAGAGAGAAGGAGAATGGTCGGCGTACATCATTTGGGCGCCGAGAAGTCTGGCGCGACCAGGCCAAGCCAGGCCAGGCCAGGCCAGAGGCGCGTCTCTGGTTACGCGACCATTTGGGGCGCCAAGCATGGAACGCTGAGAAGTGGAGAGGAGCAAAGAGAAGTACAGATAGAAGGGAATAACCATAGGAGGGCAAAGTGAGAGAAAGAGAGAAAAAGAGGCCCCGTGAGGGGCCAGCAGAGACGGTAGGTAGGCGTCCGGGCATCGTTGAGCGCGAACCGGGGAATCGCGTAGGGAGGTGTGGTGGAAGGAAAGGAGAAAGAGACGGGGGGGAGGGGAAATCAACGAAGGGGCCCCTACAGGCTACATTCCAGCGGGACGCGAGTTTTCAAACATGGCTACCCGCGTGAATGTAGGTCCACGACCGATCCTATGACACGCACACCACAATCAACCTCACGCGTACAAGATCTTTCTTCCTCTTTTCTCTTTTTTTCGTTTCTCGGTTCTCTCGGTTCTACTTTTATAATCTGCTCGAACGATTCCCTCCCATAGCGTGCTCTTTCCCCCTAATGTCTACTCCGTCACACGCATACACAGAGGAGACACAGCAGCGCAACAGCACACCAACCCACAGAATCCCCTTGCCCCTTTACACCATTGGGTTCTTTGCCTCCTCTCCCCCCGCGGCAACCCGGACGGCCTGGCCGACCGAGCTGGCGACACCCTGTCTGGCAAGACCGGCCGGCGGACAAAGGAGGGGGAGCCTGGTCGCTGTGTTGCCACGTCCTCGGACTTCGGGCTGCACCTACCTTCGGCCCCAAGGACAAATCCGATGAACGTGCCAGCCGTCGTGGCGTACTTACTTAGGCGACTGCCGGTCTGCTACCGCCGCGGCGGTTTCCACACATTATGCCTCATACCGATATTATTCTCGATCACTCCTGCTGCTCTTGCATCCTTACTGAAGCCAGATGATCGTGAAATTAGACTACTTTAATTGGACATTAAGTATGAGGTGATGCAGTTAAAAGGAAAGCTGATTCTTCCGACACACATACATACATACATAGATACAAAATGCCTAAGCGATGAATCGCGACTATAGAACTATGCGAAGGTCAAATCGTGCTGAGAGGCAGGTACCTCTGGTCGCAATATTGCTGGTCTTCGGATATAGTTAGAAGGGGCTTGGAGTCAACGTAATCGGTGGTGCGAGAATAGCCAGTAAGATTCCTAGAAATGCAGCAGAATGCTCCTTCGAGGAACAGCAGAAGGATCAGTCGAACCTTCTCGTTTCAACTGGTGGCGCGAATTTGTGGAAATTTACGAGGTCTCGCTCGTAAGCTATCTCTCTCGCTCTTGTTCATCAAACTATGTACACACATACATATACTAACGCACAGTTTGCGTCATTGTTCGCAGATCTCTCGGTGTGTGTGTGTGTGTGTCCATGTACACATACATACATTACGGCCTACGTGCGCCTGAACGATATGGCAACCGCGCGAAAAGCTAAACATATTAACTGTCGGCTCACGCCACAAAAACAACATGATCTCATTCCACGACGTATATGCAAGAAACTCGCGATTCGCATACACGCCAGGAAACTTCATCCACTGATAACTCAGTGGGGGAATGGAAGTGCGAGAAGCGAAAATAAGGAGCGTACAGAAAGTAAAGAATAATTGACCAGCAATGACTTGTAACGGTAAGACAGGAGAATGCTGGTAATAACCAGTAAGAACAATACAGATCGTATTACCCCACCGGCTTATAATGGGGACGACTTCAACCCTAACGAGACTACCATTACCAGTAAGCCGCCGCAGCTACGACCGTTTTTCCTGGAAGGTAAAATCCCCTTGCCTCCCTGGCCTTTCCCCTTATTCGAGTGCCAATAAAACCTCTTAGACGACTGTCGTCGGTGTTGGCGTTCGTTACGAGAAGCTTTCAAGAATCGTATACCGTATGCGTGGCCTGACGTAGGTCTTCAACGATTTAACCTAGATAACGCGCCTAATCTCGGCGAACGGGAAAACATCGTAACCCGAGCAACCGTGTACCAATCTTACGATACTCTTGTGATCGTAATTGGCGAATCGATCGGGTTATAATAAAATTCTGCGATTATCGATACGCGGGTTGGGAATATTGAGAAGTCGAGAAAAGGCACGGCTAAGGCGAGGAGAAAGGCGAGCAGAAATCTAGGCTCCATGCTGGCTGCCACGGCTCAGCGCGGTAAGCAGCAAGCAGAGAACGGGCAGCCAGGCACTCAGACGAGTACGGCAGACAACATGG